CACTAAAAAAATAAGTTCTCCTTACTCGTTGGTTGCGTCTATCGCCCTCCTAACGCCAATGACAATTTTGATCGCTTACTCTCACAGGCATTTTATGCTGCGGCCGACTTAAGTTTTAAGTATCAACTGGTTGCGGGTGACTTTAATCTCCCTGAAGTCCGCTGGTCTCCGCCTTGAGGCCCCAGAAGGTTCGATTACTTTCTTGAGGCTGTGGATGTCGGGATGTGGACTCAGGTTGTTGATTTTCCCATCCAAGGCTCAAGTATACTTGACCTAATTTTCTGTAGAGGCTGCCTGCCATCGTCAGTGTCATCCCTAGGCCCACTCGGGGGCTCAGACCATGACATAGTTGTTTCAACGTTGGAATTCGACGCTGACGAAATGTCGTCCCAAAAGTATAACTTTTTCCGTGATTTCCGATCAACTCGCTCAACCGAATTATTAACACACCTTAATTCCTACGACTGGACTGATTTCTTCCTTAGTTCGGATGTAAATGTTTGCACTGCAAATCTGTACGAAATTTTGGGTCCGCTTATTTCTCGTTTTGTCCCCCATAAGAAAATTATTAATGTTGGGGATGAGATTTTCCTACCTTTACCCTTTCGTCGCAGATTGCGCCGGCTTTATCGTCGTTTCCATCTGCAGAACGATGTTTCTGTTCTGCCCTTGATTTGTGATATTTTTGATCGAGCTAAGAGATTGTCTGAAGAAAAACAGCTAGCCGAAGAGGTCCAGTTTACCGAAAACCATTCGTTAAATGTCTCGAAACTTTTCTCTAAAAAAATACGAACTCAGAGAAAGACGCAGTATCCCATCCTCCGAGACGCTCTCGGAAATCCCATAGTTGATGCCCAGTTAACCGCTGATAGCTTCAATGATTTCCTGTCCAAAACGTTTATTGAAGACTCGAACACTCCCCTTCCGACCATCCAGTCATTGACCGGGGCAGTTCTAGAAACTATAAGTTTCACTCTGTGGGATGTGACTGTTACGATTCGGCGTTTTCGTCAATCTTATAGTCCAGGCCCTGATGGTGTCCCAGTAAGCATTTTAAAAACCGATGCAAACACGATCTTCCCATCCCTCTTATGCAAGATATTTAAACTTGCTCTTGAAACTGAAAATTACCCTACCTTGTGGAAGGAATCACACATTTTGCCCATTCCTAAGCACGGCAAATCTACATCATTTGATGACTTTCGGCCAATAAACACCCTCCCTGCAGTTTCGAAGATCTTAGAGACATTGATCAAGGATACGGTGATGTGTCACTTAACAGCGAATAACTTACTGAGTGCTGCTCAGCATGGATTCCTCAAAGCTCGATCTTGTGACATCTGTCAACTCTCTTTCTTTGACTATGTTCTCCAATCTAGGGACCATGGTTTTGTTCTTTACACAGTATATTTCGTTTTCACTAAGGCTTTTGACCGTGTTGACCATGCTCTTCTCCTCTTGAAATTGTCCTATTTCGGAATAGGTGGCAAACTTTTGAATTTTATATCCTCTTATTTGGGCACTCGCACACAACGAGTTAAGATTTCCAATACCATCTCCAACCCCACACGTGTGAGGAGTGGAGTCATTCAGGGTAGTGTACTCGGCCCGCTTTTATTTTGCCTTTTCGTAAATGATGTACCCGATTTATTTCAGAATGGTAAGCCTTTCATGTATGCCGATGATCTTAAAGTTGCATATCGATATAAGCCGGAAGATCATGACATCGTGCTTGAGTTCCTAATGAGCAACCTACAGGCTTTAAAACTAGGGACATCAGAATGCGCCTTTACAACATGTACGTTAGACCTGGTCTGGATTACTGTTCATTTTTATTTAGCCTCATGCGTGCTACTGAGCGGAAGAAAATAGAATCCGTTCAACACTTTTTTACCAAGAGAATTTTAGCCGCGGAACACCGACATTTGTCTTACCAAGAACGTTGCCGGCTTACAGGCCTCGATCCTTTATGGTTCCGTAGATTACAAAAGGGAATTTTTTTGCTATTTAAACTCTTATATAATCACACATTTAACCCGCTCACTTCTTTAAGACATCATATCCACCCACGACGCAACAGTCACCGTGAGGTCTTCTTATTTCTGCCTCTGGCACGTACTGTTAAATATCGTCGGTTCTTTTCTGTAAATGCAATTTCTATTTGGAATAAACTACCCATGAGTGTGAAAACTCTGCAAAATTATCCTTTATTTAAGAGAACTATTACTCGATTTTTGCATTCAGAAAAGCTCCCACAAATTTTGGGTGCTGAATCTACTGATCGACTCTACAGTAGCGATGGCGTTTGTGGTCTCTGAACACTATGGCCGGTCTCACCAGCTGTTCCTCAACGCCTCTACTTTGACTATCCCCAACTTCATGAAAGGAATTTGACGTCCGATAATCTGCGATACCGTGCAACCTCCCCCCTACTTGACGGTCGATATTGTACCACCGCCGACAGTTTTTTTCTCCTGAGCCCTCCAAACCACAAAAACTACCATCAACTATATTTTTATGCCTTAAGCTCAGGAGTTTTTTTTTCACTGCTGGTCGGGTTTGTGTTTAATCGCTTCCCTTGACAATGCCTGTAAACTGGCATTAAATTATAATTTATTTATTTATTTATTTAAAAACTTCATGTTCGCCAGCTGGCATCTCTGAGTATAAGAAATACTGGACGAAGCTTGAGAGAACATTTTACGAGTGAAAACCCTCTGAACATTTTCGATTTTATTACGGTCGCAGGCGCTCATTAAACCGAAGAAAGGACAGTAATACGCAAAAGCGGTCTGGCGAGTTCGGAAGCCAACTCCTTCAGAACTTTTGCAAAATTTGGTCTGGACCCGGAGACTTACCCTCCTTAAGCGCTAGAAGTCCCTCCCTCACATCTTCTTCCTTGAACTCGATGTTTGCTATTATTTCGTCAGTTGTCCCAGCAGGCAATCCAGCCTCGTCAAAGCCCGTTTCATCGGTGAAAACAGATACGAAAAACCGGCTGAGATGTTCTGCCTTAGCGTCATTTTCGATGATATCCTCATTGTTTTCTCCTTTCAACATTAAGACCGTCTCCTTGTTCTTTAACCTACTGTTTATGTAACTGAAGAGCACTTTTGGCTTGTCGACGGCCCGTTCCATAACTCGCGTCTCATACTCCTTCCGCGACCTGCGGATAGGCGACCTTACCTCGTTTCGCTTTCGACGAAACTGCGCGTACTGAGATGGTTGTTTTGTTGTTGCATACCTTCTCCATAGTTTGTTCTTCCGGTTTACTTCGTTCTTTGTATCCCGCGTTATCCATGCAGGACGAATATTCTTTTTGACTCTCTTTGTCGGACAGTTTCGGTGCATGTTGTCGGTTACAACTCCTTTGAGAGTGTTCCAATCAACGTCTGGATGTCCGGAAAGAACATCATTCCAGTCCACTACCGATAATTCCCTTCTCATGGCGGCAAAATCTCCTCGCCAGAAATTCAGTCGAGGCTCAGTCGTATTCCCTGGCTGGCTACATAGGCGGTATTCGCAAAACAGCATGACACGGTCACTCTTACCGAGCGGTGTTAAGGATCTAAGTTCACCAGGGCTAATTGGGTCATTTTTAAGGACGAGGTCCAGACAATTTGCTCTTTGGTCCTCTCTGATCCTGGTTGGGAACGTGACGTTTTGTACCAGAAAGAGATCAGCTGTTAGCTTCAAGAGCCTGGAATCAAAGGAATTTCGCGAACCCTTTATTAACTGATAGTTCCAGTCGACCATGGGTGCGTTGAAGTCTCCGGTTATCAGTACCTCTTGGTTTTGTGACACCTCTTTAATTAACCTAAACATCGGCTCTTCAACCTCAGCAGTTTGATTGGGCGGCCTGTATACAGTCAGGAAATTCAGATTAGGTTCGCTGCGCATCCTCAGTTTTAACCACATTGCTTCACAGTCGCAGGAGCAATCGGTTTTGTGTTCCGACGCAATGATTCCTCTCTTGACGTAGACCGCTATTCTCCCTCCTTTTTTATGCAGTCTGTCCTGGCGAAAAAGTAGGTATCCATCGAGTGTAATTTCGGCACCGAAGACTTCTGTCTGGAACCAAGTCTCTGTGATAGAAATGACATCCGGCTGCGTATCTGGTATCCACACTTTCAGCTCATTTAGCTACTGGAACGAACTCTGAGCATTTGCATAAACAAAGCGGAGCTTAGAACGGGCAGATTCCCGAACGATTTTTGGGTCAAAGTTGCTGGATATTTCGTGCGAGTTTTCGGGTCTGACTGTTTCCCTTCCGTGTCTGCTGCTGTTTGATTGGACTGGATGTTAGTGTTTTGGCTGTCGTTTTCTCTGATCGGTTTGTCAAGTAGGAGTGTTCTTTCCCTATTATCTGGTTTTTATTATGCTCGGTGTAATTGGTTGTCTCCAGAGGAATGAGCTCCGAACAGTTACAATTTTCCCATTCAATATTCTTAGGTTTTTCTCACCGGATTTGTATTCTCTGAGGAGTTCGACCTTGAGTTCCCTCCATTTCTCCCTTTCGGCCGGTGAGAAATCCCGCTGAAAAAAATTGTTGGGTGGGTATCTCGCAGTGCTGGTTTCCTGTTTAGCACTAATAGAGGTTGTTCCTCCCTTTCGAGAATAATTTTTAATGGTCTGTGATGGCCCGACTCGTCCTTCAAATCCTTGATTGGACCTATTCTGAAAGCTTTCAAGACGGTGACCCAGTCTGGTATCCATCTCCACGAGGCTTCGCCCTGTTTAGCGTTACACCTCCGTAGCCTCTTTGACTGACGGGCGAGACCAGGCAGTTGTTAGCTTGTCTTTCAAACTGCATTTTTGCTGGGATTTGTCCTATCAGTCGCAGTATAAGTTGTGATGACCTTAATGCTTTCCATTCTACCCCTACTAGGAGAACCTGCTAATATTAATTCCATTGGTCTTATTCCTTTCATTATCAACTTTTATGCGTAGCCAATATCACCCGCCTGCACCGTGCTTTTTTTCTTCTACGCGTTAAGAAAATGAAAACTGGCCTTGGTACCTTTTTCCCACAGTCGGCGGTTTTCCGCAAAACTGGAGAACTCTTCACCCTTCGGTACGCTCGTCTAGTTAGTTTTTTGTGTATAATCGATCGTTAACACATTTTGACATTTCAGTGGCTCTTTTGACAGTCCTTTGCCCTTTCTTTCACCGCTTTTGACTGTACCTTGGTCGTAGGCATTTTACACGGCATTTCAATTCTGGCAATAAAAATTGTGTATTTTTATCTCGCTCACACCGGCCAGAATTTTTTGCGCTAATGTCTGCATCTCAGAACATCAACGCTGTCAGCCGGAAAGATATAAGCACACAGTTATTTAACAGGAAAATCACCATCTACTTTAAAAAACTGCTTGGAGGATGCAGTCACTCCTTGTGCCGCCCTGCAGGGAAGGGGAAAGGTAGATGTGCTATCTCGTGAAATGTTAACCGAAATTCTGAAATGAGTTTTAATTTAAAAAGCTTATTTAAGTAGGATTGTCATGTTAATTGCCTCACCACATAATGCCGAAAGATTTCAGTCACATCAGGATGCCAGCTTTCGAACTAGCTTCTTATCGGCCGTCTGCGTTAACGTCATTCCGTAAAAATGGCTACTTATCCAGTACGGATGTTGGAAGCCGGGGTACTGAGGTAGACAAGGTAGAAGGGTAGGATCCATTCCGCTTCTGCTAAACCAGGCTGTGATCATACCCCCACGCTTCGACGCAACAGGATCCATTGGCCAAAGGTCAAATCGGAAACTCAGACTAGAACGACTGTTTTAAATGACTCTGCCATTTAATTTTATGTTAGCACACAGCGCCTTAATTTTCGTCGACTTGGTAAAATAGGAATCTTAAAAAATGAAATCCGTCCGCGTAATCTGGCTGCACCACTTTTGGTCTGGACAAACCTTCTTGTTCGTGCTGTAGTTGCTTGGCTTTCCGATGTCTGATGTGATGCGCTCTACAGAACAATTCGGCCTGCATTTTTCTACTCTCTGCCCACGTACAGATCGGACTTGTGTGTCCCCCTCCCTCCCGCCATAACCCAGAGTTGTGTACTCACTAGGCCTATTTTTCTCCCCATGCACAAGTATAGGCTAATTATGTTTTTTTCCTGTCCAGACATCTTTTAAACGTAAGTACCAACATAACTGAGACACCGGACTTTTATTGGGACCGACCGGAGGTTGAGAAGTTATTCCAACAATTGAAGAGTGCTCTGAGCATTCAGAGTCGAACAAAGGTGGGCTTTGACATGCTGAATAAAAAAATGTGTTATTCCTAAACCTTTCTTACGTATAATAACCATTTCTTCTTTAAGCGCACCTGACTGTTTCCCTGAAATCTACTTTTGTTCATCCACTCAAACGCCAAGGAAGACAATTTTATTGGTTCGATCTCTAGTCGTTATGTCATTGATTTTTTTCTGTCCGGAAACAGATTCTTAACACAAAACTGGATACTTGCTGTGAACTCGCCGAAATTTTGACAAATCACCTACAAGCGCGTCATTCTTCTCGTCTCGAATGGATGATAATTGCTCTCATTCTTGTCGAGGTAAGAAACCCCACAGCGACGATCCTATCTTTTTGCGCTTTTTCTAGGTTATTTTCGAATTCCATCGGCTCTACGAGAAGTGGCAAGTTAAAGAGTGCACCACGTCAGCGGTCGGGAGTTGATCGGTTTTTACCACTGTCGCTACTTTCTTTTCCGCCAACCCATCACAATTAGCTCTCTTTTTGTTCCTGTAAAATTCCTACTTTCCCTTCTCTCATCAGGGAGATTTTATGTATAGCCAACCTATTGTACAGGGAAGTGTATTTGACTTGTTAGATATACCTTGGCGCTCTGATTTGCTCTTTGCGACGTTAACTGGTCCGGTGAACCCGGCAGGTCAAGCGAATGTCATTCTGGTTACTATAAAGGCGGGCAACGTTTTTCACCCTTCTGGTTTAGGAATTGCTATTAAAGTTTTCTATTTAGCTACAAATTCACATGCACTTTTGATGAACTCTTGCATATCTGATTTAGCAACTAACTTGTGGTACACTTTTTAATCAGTGAAGAAGAAGAAGGGTAACAGAGCGCCGGAACATTCCGTTTATTGTCCTGAGCTTTCGAAATCGTGCAGGAGTCCATCGTCAACGGCAGTGGCAGCAACAGAACAAGCGACACTTATAGGGCGTATTAGCCAATCATCGACCGACGGCGCAAGACTGAAGGTGACTACGGGGGGCTCTGTACGCCGGCGCCAGATCGATAAATCGATTGGCTGAGTTCTCATCCGCGGCCCAAGCTTCAATTAATTCTCGGCCTGTTTTATTTCCGGCGTGGACGAGAATTTTGGCGGCTGCGAAGTTAAACCCGTGACCCATTTCGTAGGTGTGGGCGGCCACCTCTGATAATGCGTCGCCTCGTCGCACAGCCAGCTAATGTCCGTGTATGCGCGATCTGAGCATACGTCCAGTCTGGCCTGTGTAGTTACAAGAGCAGTTTTGACACGGGATGCGATACACCACTCCAGGTTGCTCTTCAGGCTTTAACCGGTTTTTAATTTTCATGACCTTACTGCTCATGATGGCTTTAGGGCGGTGTGCAATTCCAACACTTAGCTCCGCAACAATTCTCTCGGTTGCCTATGATACGTCCATGATGAATGGCAGAGAATGCCATATCGTTGGTGGTGTTAACGTTGGGGTCTTCTGGGGACGGCCGCGTAGGCAGCGACTTATGAAAGCCTTCGGATAGCCATTTTACACAAACTGGTCGCGGAGATAACGGGCCTTGCGTGCTCATTCTTCCAGTTGTCTGGTTTGGAGCCGTTTGAAGAGCGTCTTCACACAGCTTCGTTGGTGAGCCACCGGATGGTTGCTGTGAAAACTGATCATTAGCGCTAGGTATGAGGTCACGTTTAGGGTTAAGCTTGCCTGCCGCATACAGTCTTACCAAATCTAGCCTTTGTTATCAACTAGCTTCGGATCACCTCTCCACCCCTCTTTGCGCCTTTACTTAGCGCCTTCCAAATTATGGTAAGATGTGGTTTGGTAGCCCCACCTGATGGACACTATACTGTTGGGGTTGGGGCTTATCTTTAGGGGTTAGGGTTTAGGATTAGGGGTTATAGTTAGGAGTTAGCGCAACTATTTCTCAACCATTCAAAGTACAACCGCGCATTCCCAATAGCTTTTCTTTTGCATACAACTACTTGACCTCGTCGCCTGTGCTTTCCCCGACCTCATCTGTAAAAACCCCTATTATCACCCGTCCCGTATTAGAGGTGATTGGGGTTTGTTCACTTCAGGCTACATAAACACATCCGACCCAAATTATTCATTCTGTCCTGGCTCCTCCTTGGTTTAATAAAACAAGCATATGGCGGAAATGCGAGTTTCATCAATGCGTCCCACAGATTTTGTTAGCTACCGCCTCCGTCGGCTCATATAGCAAAACTAATGTTAACATTTTTCCCGCATTGTAGGACTCTCTGTACCCTATTTTCTCAATAGTCACTCATCGCCGGCCTATATCAGGTATTCGTCAATATGTTACGACGACCCATGATTATCTGTGGCGGCGTAGAGCTCCACCTGCTCGTGTTTTCAACAATCCAGACGGAATACCAATGGTACAAGAACGACTTCCGTATCTTGACCAACTATGCGAACGCAGTTTTATGGCGGCGTTGTATTAAGATCGGAATTGAGCTGACACGTGAGGTGATAGGGAATCTGGCCAAATCACCTTAGTCATCGTTCTTGGTGACCCAAGATGTAGTAGCTATGTTACGGCTGCGCATGTGTGGCGTTCCATTCTCGATGACGTCAGTGTAATTCATCCGAAGCATGGTTTTCAGAGAGCGTTGGTCAAACACTCCTATCTCTTGCTCGATTTCCGCGCACGCAACTGACTGACTGAAAACCGACGGGATGAGCGCTTAATAAATAAAGAGTTTTACGGCGATAAAGGTATCACAGTGTGTCTGCCAGAGGTTCTAAAGTCCGCATGAAACCCAGAACAAGGTTTCGGGCGACGATGCCGCCCCCATTCTGTCCGATTGGCATCCCAATTCGCCCGAAGTTATTTAAAGAAGTGCAGAGGGTCATCCGATGATCTGATGGCAGTAGAAGTAGTAGTAGTAGCAGTAGTAGTAGTATTAGTGGTAGTAGTAGTGGTGGTAGTAGTAGTAGTAGTAGTAGTAGTAGTAGTAGTAGGTAGTAGTAGTAGTGGTAGTGCGGGACGGGATCGTCACTTTGCATCTGGCTACTAAATCTGCAGCCCACGCAGGCATTCGCAGGGCGATCGGTACCGATGCAGGAAAGGAGACGATGAGACAAGTGAGACCGGATTGACCAGTTCTAGCTTCCTAGTCGCAGCTAGCCATCCATTTCCCACCCGCAGGTTCAGTAACCTGGGTTGAGATCTCGGACTGATTTGCTACTAAGTGTTTACTCGAATGTTTTATTGAGTCATAATGTTTCGCCCTGTTCTTCGACAGCGATGTTCACCGACTGGTTGAGTGGAATTTGTTTCTTTCAATTACGCCTCAACCAAAAGCTTTGGCCTTGAGCCTGTTAGATTGTCCGAGCTTTTCATCCTTATGGTCTAAGCATTTTCATCGGAAGACTTACGACCCGAAGAGAATTTTACTAATCTCCCCAGGGAAACAGTTGACAAATCGGTCTTAAGTGGACCCACATTACTAGTTACCCCTCGGTGCTCGTTACGCCTGTGCGAGAAATTCTGTCGAATGCTTAACGTCAATAAAGGCCTGCCGCGTACCTGGCCAATCGCACCAGCGTCACCGCCATTTCCTTTCTAATTTTCTCATCTAATGGTTATGTAAGATGGGACGAACATTACAGGCCGCCAGAGAGAGGACTCACCTAGCTGCTTGTGGAATGGGGCACGGGGAGGATGGAGTGAGATAGAATTAGGTCCTGTGTTTTGGTTCCGACAGCATGTACTGCAGTCTGCTAGCAGATGTCGTGAACACAGTACTTTTTATATTTTCTTCCCCCTCGCGAGGAAAGCAATGTTCTAACTAGATCAGGCTGCTGTCTCGCATAAGACGGGTACCGCTCTCCACTATGGATCACGGACTTTAGTGAGAGAACGACTAAGAGAATGGACCGCCTAAGGGATTGCTGTCGCTCTCGCCGTAGAATTTCCGACCGTGGGGTAAGACAGTGGAGTAGGGCAGAGGGTAGGGGGAGTGAAGGGCAAAGGAGAAGTGCAGATGCACGCAAGCATAGCCTCGCCGGCCGCCAGACACAGCTAAGTACCGGGGAGTCACATGTAAGAGTTGGGTGCCAGCTAATGG